GCTACAGGACCAAGAAATGTAAATCATGACAATCATTATATACATGTCATGAATTTCATTTTATAACTAGTCAGATATGTTCTTCATACAGTCATGTTATGCCTTACCAAGTTTGGTATCTATACCATTATCGAACGGCCACGAGAGCTAAAAGTCGCAGGCGGCTAGGAAGACGGATAGATAAGCTCCAAGTCGCCGAAGTTCGCTAAGAAATGCTTCGCATTAAAAAAAAAAAATCGGCATACCCAATGCCTTGTGAAAATCGGTTTCATAAAAAGCAGTCAGCGAGTAGTAGTCAATGTCACATTTATTCGCTGGGATCCAAGGGTTACGAAATGGATCGGTGTGTTTTTGTAAATGTAGAAGTTATGTGCACACCGTGGGCTTAGTAGGCATGATGACTACACAGGCGTGTAAAGGTTAACTTATAGCCTACGTAACGGGAGAACTCACGTGAGAACCGACACAACAGTATCAACGAGACGAAGGACACTTTACGGTGTGGTGATGTGAATATCACACATAACTTCCTTGTTTAGAAAAAAATGTTTAACGATTTAGAGCATACTTCGTACTCTACCATGGTAGAGTGGATGGCCGTCCCAGTCGAAGATCAGCGAAGCCAATGACAGCTGAGACAGACTCGCTAGCGCATTTGCAACCACAATTAACGCTGCGTTGACATCACGCCCATGAAGGGTTTTTTTTTTTCCTAACAGTTTTAACACCCGGCGTGGCTGCTGGCACAATAAAAGACTGCCGCGCAGAACGCTTAGTTTAGATTCCTGCCGGGATTTTCATGCATTCTTCGGGTCAACCTGGCCGAGGTTGGTTTTCCTAAAAGCCCCAGAATTTTAATTAGAAGTACCTGTTCTCATAGAATGTACATTGCATCACAGGATGTTCAGCTTCTCACTAAATTATTGAGATTTACGCACGTAAACGCAGCAAGACCAGCACTTTTATTGTAAATGTGTATAGCCCGCCCAAAGAAAATGGAGCAGACTTTGAAGCACTGGTTGCTGGGACAGCCTTACTCTTGCGCAAGCAGGACAGCCTCGTTTTTCTAGGTGGTTTCAACACCCCTCATAGAGCTGGGGATATCGACGGGACTCTCCGAAAGGGAATTGTTATAACGTGAGGAACCGACAGCATTGCAAGAACAAGTGATAGGTTTATTGCAGAACACACACATACATATATATATATATATAGGCAGAGAACCACGTGATTGGCCACACAGCAATGCTCGTACTGGATGCCCAAGTGATATGTGACGTCACGCCACAACAGAAATTTGTTAGAAAAAGCTGTAGAGAATCACGGGCTTCATCTCATCACACTCCCCACAGTACTATGCGGCTGGGAAACAGTGTAAGTGCCGACACTTCTCCCGACTTAACATTTACGTTAAACTCATCTGACGCAACCTAGACTAACCTTAAGGAAACCTTAGGCAGCGACCACTACATCATTAGTGTGTACATAGCCTCTCCGAAGGTTCGTCGTACTACCGGCCAAGTGACGATAATGGACTGGTCAAAATACATAAAAATTCTTCTACCACAGAACACCATTGAGGATGCCAAAGCATGGGCAAGTCATTTGCGTGATGCGCATGGTTCTGTTTCGAAATGCATAGCCCTTACATTGGAAGCCCCGGTTGTGGACCGGCATCTCCTTCATATGCGGAAAAATAGACGAAGCCTAATTAAGCGATGAAAGCGCCAGTGCCTCAATGGTAAACGTCGTCTCAAAATCTCAGAAGTTCCGGAGCGCGCTAACGAATATGCTCGTGAAATTGCAGCGGAAAGCGGGGTGCAATTCTGTGACTCGATGAGAAATACCTTAAGCACATCGAAAACATGGGCTATTTTGCGAAGCTTGCTCAACCCTGGTAGCACTAAATCTATGGAGTCCAGGACGATTCAGAGGTTGGTGGGTGCTTTCGCCGGCACAGTGAAACAGCTCTTGAAAGTTATGCATCCGACATACGTGGGTGAGGCCGGCAGCGCGCCATGCACGCTTGGATACAAGGGCACACCAAATGCAGCACTGGATGAACCTATCACAAGAACTGAACTTTTTGCCACGGCACAATGTGCTAAATCCAACACAACACCAGGACCCGATCGAGTTACTAACGCCAGGTTACGAAACCTTAGTGATGACTGCCTCGATGAACTGGTCCGCTATTTTAATGAGCACATTTGCGATCCTGGGATTGTTCCGCCAGAATGGAAAGAGGCCTCAATCATACTAATTCTCAAGCATGGGAGAGCCCCACCTTACAGAATCTCCGTCCAGTATCATTCACATCCTGCCTCGGGAAGCTCTTCGAGAAAGTCATTCGCAAGCGCCTATCACTATATATCGAGGAACGGTTTTTTTTTCTCTACCCACATGTATGGTTTCCGCCACAACCTCTCAACAAAAGACGTTTTCCTCCGGCTTCGGGATAAAGTATTACGCGGAATTCTCCTCGGCTACGGAACACATCTTGGTAGATCTCGTACTAAAATGCGTGTTCGACAACATGGGTCACAACCTCATCTTGCATTAGCTCAGCTCCTCCGACTGCGGGGAAAAATATACCGCTATATCAAGTCTTTCCCCGCCGATCGGACTGCAATAATAGGCTTAGGAGACATTAGATCATCGGTTTTCAAATGCCCAGTAGAGGAACGCCTCAAGGGGTCATATTATCTCATTTATTTTTTAATAGTGGCATGGCCCGCCTTGCCCGACAGCTCGAGTTCTATACCAGACTTGGGATACGCCCTGTATGTCTATGCTATAACCCTTTGGGCGACTCGAGGCTTTCTCGGCCACAAGGAAACTACACTCTCCAAGAAGCAGCTCAGACCGGGCATCTATTCGCGAAAAGCTGGGGTATGAAATGCTCTCCGGAAAAAAACAGAATTCGTTCGGGTACATGGTAAGAGTTACCGAAGTAAACCACCGTTTGCACTTAAAGTAGGTGATCATTCTATACGAGATGTAGCGCGTACACGTATCCTCGGTCTTTGGGTACAGGAAAATAGGCACGCAGACCACACCCTCAGAACTCTTCGCACTTCTGTTTAAAAAAAATGCGCGCATGGTACACAGAGTGACGTATCACCGCAAATGCTTTGGAGAGGCGGACACGCTTCATTATAATCGAAGCCTTCGTAATTAACAGAATAACGTATGATCTCCCTTGCCAAGAGCTCAGTAAGACTGAAATCGAATAAGTGGATACCCTCATTCGTACCACCTATAAGGCTGCCCTCGGCCTACCAATGGGAACATCCACAGATAGGCTTCTTGCCTTGGAGATCTACAACACCTTCGAGGAGCTCAGGGCCGTGGTCCTCATCTCGCAGTGAGAAAGACTTAGCCTCTTACCCGCGGGTAGGGAAATATTACGTGGCTTAGGATATCCTGCACGGCCCCAATATAGTGACGAGGACCTGGTGCCCCTTTCCGCTCGTATCTGTGCCCAAATCCATATCGGTCATATACCTAAAAACATGAACTCGTTGTACCACTGAGCGCGTCACAACACCAGAGCCCGGCAGCTCACCAAACAGTTAGGAACGGACCCAGACAAGCTCTATAAGGACGCAGCCCGCTGCGGTATCCATGGCTTTTCATTGGCCGCTATCGGTTTGGTGCGCCCTCGGGTTTAATTACCTGTGCTTCAGCTAAGACGAACTCGGCGGACTCGGCGGAAGCCCTCCCGGTAGCACTCGCCATCAAAGGCGTTGTGGGACAGCAATCTCATATCCTCATGGACTCTCAAACAGCCTCTCAATATTTCGCTAACGGCTGTGTACCTACGTGCGTCACCTGCCACCTAAGTGCCACACTAGACCAGGAACACTGCATCATATGGTGCCCCGAACATGTAGCGGAAACAGGTAACGATAGAGCAGACAGTGCAATTTAAGCTATTACTCGCCGAGCAACCGTCCCTCGTCCAGATACCCGTTTGCTGCCCCCATCTCCCCACACCCCTCGAGATATTTTAGAACACCAGAGTCGACAACGACAGCGATACTCACCGCCTCATTCTCAGCTGAGTGTAAAAGAAGCGCAAGAGTGGCGCCACCTGCAGAGAAATACATATCCGCACCTCCGTTTAAAACATGCGATGCACCTAACCGCATACGCGGGTTCTTGCCCGTGGTGTGGAGGACAGCCAACACTTGCTCACATTACATGGGAATGTAAGTTAAGGCCAGCTAAAATTAATACGCCTCATATTTCTGCGAAAAAATTCACGATGGAGCAGTGGAAGACGTTGCTCACCAGCGAGGAAAAGGATGCCCAAGTGGCGCTCCTAGACCAGGCGCGGCGGGCTGCGGAGGCCAGTGGCGCCCTGGACTAGGGGCCCCACCCACCTGTTTCTAACCCTTATTTAATTTTTTTCTCTGTAACAAACGTTTTTCCATCCAGAAGTACCTGTTGTCACTGTTAAAGAGTACATATAGGCTGTCAATCACTTGTGGCGCATACTCGCATAGCAGTGATCATGAAACGGGTATGAGACACATGTGTCAAGAGGACAAAGTTTGGTGGCGTGCGTGATGACATATTCACGTTATTCATGTGATCATCATACAGCGACAAACTTTCTGATCCTCTCATGCAAATGTTTGTTGTATACCATGTTAATAGGGTGATTACGAGAACAGCTAGACGTAGACGGCTAGATAGATAAATGTGTAGCTGAAAACGCTTGAAGTGTATTTGGTTCCTACAGAAATGCGGTGCAATTAATACGAGTGATGCTATACCTTTAGTGATTTCATTGAGTGTAAACCACCGCTTTGAATGAGCACAGAAGTTTCACCACAGCGTGGGCAGCGGGAGAGTGGCGATTCTAGTGACAACATCTACACCTCCATGATACCGCGAGCAGAGCTTCGTGACAAAAAAAAAAACCTTAAAAGACTTTTTTTTGCGGTTTGCTTGTTCTCCCCAACACTATTAATTCGAAACGTCTCCAATCTCTCTCTTTTCTTCATGTTCCCAAATATCTTACATCCACTCTATGGGGTAGCAAACTGGACAATGTTTTGGGTGGCCTTCCTAACTTTTCACACCTTGCCCTTTTCCTTCATCACCGACAATGTCACGAATCGCCAATGCATCGCGACTATCCACGGTCACGTAGTTCAGTTTTGCCATAATTAGCACACTAACCCACAACTGGTACACTCTCCTGAAAAGCGCACGTCTCTGACCCCAGTGAAAGAACAAAGTCTTCCTTTTTATGATCGTCGTTTTAGCAGGTGGGCTGACGTGGTACATGCGTCTGATGTTCACCAGGGACACGTTGGTCGCATTTCTCAGCAGTCCCGTGGAGTAGACGTCATCCACCCAAAAGAAGGGACACTGCCGGTTGCCTCACCCAACAGAGCCAGTACTGAAGCCTTCATGAGGTAGGCGGCACCACAGCAGTAAGGAGGATACGTGTCGTTGGCGTACTCTTCCTTCGTAACGAACCACTTGGAATCATTATTACGGATAGGCTTCAGGTACGGCATGGTTGCGCAGTGAATCGTTCTCCAGTTGCGAGTCTCAGCTGCGTTCATGTGTTGTTCAACGTAATACGCCAGAAAAAACACGTTGACAATGACGTCATCGTCTAGTTTGACAACGACATCTGTCGATGAGCTGAGGCAGCGGTTATCGGCGAGCCACTTTGTTGCCCCGATGAACTTCAAGGTCAGGTTCCGGTAGGTGTCCACGTGGTCTAGCAGCACCAGGTCACCTTCGCACTCGGCCTCCGCACGCACTTCCTCGCTGACATCTGTGTTCGAGGTTTTGCCGATGAAGAAGGCGATGGTGGAGTTCACGAACGCGGCGACACCGGGGTCACCTATGGTATCGCGCAATACCCGACGCCTGTAGAAATGTGCGGGAGCGGTGTGAACAAAGTAGAGCACCCGAAGTGGAAAACTGCAGGTCTTTTTCAATTTCCAGCCGGGTACTTTAGTCAACTTTCCGGCATCCATGAACGCGGATGTGCTAGTATTCACTATGGGTACTGGAGCAGCAGATGTTATCTTGTTGGTGGTCGATGTATTGATGTCTGGCGCGACTTTGCTTTTCCTTCAGTATGGGGCCCGACGGAAGAGGGTCGTGTAGCTGAAGTCTTCAACGTGTCAGAAAGCTCCACCAGAGTGGGCTCAGATTTTGAAATCTTCAAACTATCAGAAGACTGAGCATGAGTTGGCTCTGCTGCTGAAGTATTACCGTTATTCGAGAGCTCACCAAAAGCGGGCTTGGGTGTTGACGCGATCCATACATAAGAAAGTTCGGTGGTCTTAGGCTCCTGGAAATAAGCAGTAGAGGCGTCACGGCAAGTCCTGGAGAGGAACGCAAAAAATGCTACAGAAGCGATGGTGGTGTAGACTAATATTCGACAGCATATCTTGGATCGTTTCAGTCTTCTGTATTCACTGAGAGCGCAAACGTGGGAAGCCATAACGTGCTTTCGTATTATGATCAATTATTGGCCGAGTTATCTTCAATATGAGTAGCACTAGTCGCGGTTGGGCGAAAACGCGTAAACAGTGAGCGACCTGTGCACGTCGCCTTTACGATCACTTAGGAGGGTAGCACTCTGTCGGAAAGCGTCTTCATTGTGAGAGAGCTTGTTCGGTGTCCTCTGAGGTCAAATTACTGTGGTAAATGAAATACAGCTTCAGCTAATGCAAAAAAAAATTACCAGCGGCAAGAGCAAAGCCAATACTCACAACGAAGCGGTTTGTGAATGAATTGAGTTTATCGCGCACCAATTCGTCGTTGCACCAGAGAGGAGAGGCCAATCAATTCCTTTCAGCACGAGGTAGTCGGCCGTGCTCAAGAAGCCTCTGAAGGCAAGTATATTGTTCGTCTTGGTGTGGCACAGAAAGTCCGCGTCAAGGGCATTGCACACTTACTTTCCAGCCAACAAACAGGTCACAGGCTGGTGCAGTGGGTGAGCAAAAAAAAAGAAGAAAAGTGCAGCCTACGGTCAGCCAGAGGTTCATAATTCAGTCACAAATCCGTCCGCTTCTGGCGATGAACTCACGAATGGGATCGGCGCTAGACGTGGCGGCTTCCTGTTAATCGCTGGCGAAGACACTCATCGTCCTGGAGGATTTATTCTCGATGATATACTTCGGCGTGGTGGGCGAATGCTTAGGCAGAGCAGTCGATGACAAGATTTTCACTGTGTTGCAGAAAACAGTCGCAGCGCCAATATCGTACCTCGAGTCTCGATTTATCTGGTGTGGCGTTACCAGGTCACGACGTCTCACCAATGATCTGGCGAGGCTCGACGGACGTCGACTCATTTTGTTCATAGGTGAGGTATACATTGCCATCTGGAAGCCGATAAAAGGCCACGAAATGCGATTTCGCACGTGCGTCATATGCCGCCGCCGCCTACAAGCTGAGACGGCAGATGCTTCTCGCGGCTTTCTTAAACCCTAAGTGCACGCATTTCTTCCCGTATGCCAGGCTATTATTCTCAAGCAACTGAAGCAACTGGCAAAAATGATTTCTTCTCAACGTTGTTTTTGTCAAGATCAAAAGCAGACTTGACTCGCCAGAATCTCTTAAACCCCTCTCTCTCTCTCTCTCTCTCTCTCTCTCTCTCTCTCTCTATATATATATATATATATATATATATATATATATATATATATATATATATATATATATATATATATATATATATATATATATATAATATATATATATATATATATAATATATATATATATATATATATATATATATATATATATATATATATATATATATATATATATATATATAAGTAGATGCGCTTTCACATAACAACTGTTTATTGTGCTGACGTTTCGACAGGAACCCTGTTGAAACGTCGGCACAATAAACAGTTGTTATGTGAAAGCGCATCTACTTTCATATTTATAACCTTGCGGCAACCGAAGTTATTCTTCTGCATATAAGCCTTATATATATATATATATATATATATATATATATATATATATATATATATATATATATATATATATATATATATATATATTACGCAAAAGCAGGAGCCGAGGATGAATTAAGGAGCGAGACGTCTCTGACTTGACAGGATAATTATTATTGAAACAGAAACACAGGCACATAGTCTGAGGTTGCCAACAAATTTCAAAAATAGTGTTTCAAGAAATGTGGAACATTTCGTCAGAAGTAAGTTGTCAGGTACACTCGTAAAATTTTCAGCGACGGCTTTTTCAGCGACAAACCTTCTCATCCTCCCATACAAAGTTTGTTGTGCACCATGTTAATGGGGTGATTACGAGAGCATCCAGGCATATGAGGCTAGATAGATAGATATGTAGTTAGAAACGCTTGAAGTGTCATTGGTTTGCTCTGAAATGATCTGCAAATAATACGAGTGATGTCATAACTTTAGTGATTTCATGCTATATAAACAAGTGCTTCGAACCAGCACAGCAGTTTGGCAGGGCTTGGTGTCCACGTACACACATGCTCTATATACGCTGAGAGTGGCAATGCTAGTGGCAGCATTCATCTCTCCATGAAACTGCGAGCAAAACTTCATGGCAGAAAAAAGCCTTGAATGACTTTGATTGGTGTGTGTGAAGATTACAAATATATTTTAGCGGTTTTCTTGTTCTCCCCAACACTATTGATTTTAAACGTCTAAAATTCCTACCCTTTTCTTCATGTTCCGGATTTTCTTACATCTACTCTATAGGGAAGGAAATTGGACGCTGTTTTGGGTGGCCTTCCTAACTTCCCATATCTTGCACTTCTTCTTCATCACTCATAGTGTCACGAGTGACCCATTGATTGCCACTATCCATGGTCACGTAGTTCAGTTTTGCCGTAATTAACACACTAACCCACAACCGGTACACTCTCCTCAAAAGCGCGCGTCTCTGACCCCAGTGAAGGAACAAAGTCTTCTCTGCTATGGCCGTCGTTTCAGCAGGTGGGATGACGTGGTACATACGTGTGATGTTCACCAAGGACACGTTGGTCACATTCCTCAGCAGTCCGTGGAGTAGACATCATCCACCCAAAAGAAGGGAACACTGCCGGTTGCCTCACCCAACAGAACCAGCACTGAAGCCTTCATGAGGTAGGCGGCCCCGTAGCAGAAAGGAGGATACGTGTCATTGGCGTACTCTTCCTTCGTAACGAACCACTTGGAATTTTTATCACGGAAAGGCTTCAGGTACAACGAGGTTGCGCAGTGAATCGTTCTCCAGTTGCGAGTCTCAGCTGCGTTCATGTGTCGCTCGACGTAATACGCCAGAAGGAACACGTTGACAAGCACGTCATCGTCTAGTTTGACAACGACATTTGTCGAAGAGCTGAGGCAGTGGTTAGCGGTGAGCCACTTTGTCGCCCCGATGAACTTCAAGGTCAGGTTCCGGTAGGTGTCCACGTGATCCAGCAGCACCAGGTCACCTTCGCACTCGGCCTCCGCACGCACTTCCTCACTGACATCTGTGTTCGAGGTTTTGCCGACGAAGAAGGCGATGGTGGAGTTCACGAATGCGGCGACAGTGGGGTCACCTATGGTATCGCGTAATACCCGACGCCTGTAGAAATGTGCGGGAGCGGTGTGAACAAAGTAGAGCACCCGAAGTGGAAAACCGCAGGTGCTTTTCAATTTCCAGCCTGGTACTTTAGTCAAGTTTCCGGCATCCACGAACGCGGATGTGCTAGTATTCACGATGGGTACTGGAGCACCAGATGCTATCTTGTTGGTGGTCATTGTATTGATGTCCGGCGTGACTTTCACTGTTCCTTCAGTATGGGGTCCGACGGAAGAGGGTCGTGCTGCTGAAGTTTTCAACGTGTCAGAAAGCTCCACCAGAGTGGGCTCATATTTTGAAATATTCAAACTATCAGAAGGCTGAGCATGAGTTGGCTCTGCTGTTGAAATATTAACGTTATTCGAGAGCTCACCAAAAGCGGGCTTGGGTGTTGACGCCATCCATACATAAGAAAGGTCGGTGGTCCTAGGCTCCTGGAGATAACCAGTAGAGGCGTCACGGCAAGTCCTTGAGAGGAACGCAAAGCATGCTACAGAAGCGATGGTGGTGTAGACTAATACTCGATAGCATATCTTGGATCGTTTCAGTCTTCTGAATTCATGGAGGGCGTAAACGTGGGAAGCCATAACGTGCTCTTGTGTTTTGATCAATAATTGGCCGAGTTATCTTCAATATGAGTAGCACTAGTCGCGGTTGGGCGAAAACGCGTAAACAGTGAGCGACCTGTGCACGTCGCCTTTACGATCACTTAGGAGGGTAACACTCTGTCGGAAAGCGTCTTCATTGTGAGAGAGCTTGTTCCGTGTCCTCTCAGGTCGAATCACTGCGTCAAATGAGACACAGCTTGCGTTAGTGCAAAAAAAAAAAAAAGAGAAGACGAGCTGCAAGAGCGAAGACAATACTCGCAACGCATCGGTTAATAAATGAATTGCGTTTATGGCGCACCAATTTTTCGCCGTACTAGAGAGGAGAGGTCATCCCCTTCTTTTCAGCACCAGATAGTCGGCAGTGCTCAAGAAGCCTCTGAATGCTAGTGTATTGTTTGTCTCGGTGTGGCACAGGAAGTCCGCGTCATGCGCATTGCGCACTTATTTTCTAGCCTACAAGCACATCACAGGCTGGTGCAGTGATTGAACAAAAAAAAAAAAAAAGGAGAGTGCAGCCTACGCAGAGCAGGTGGTTCATCATTCAGTCACAAATGCGTCCGCTTCTGGCGATGAACTCACGAATGCGATCGGTGCTAGACGTGGCGGATTCCTGTTAATCGCTGGCGAGGACACTCATCGTCGTGGAGGATTTATTCTTGACGATATACTTCGGCATGATATACGATTGTCTAGGCAGGAGGCCTTCGACGACATGTTTTTCACTGTGTTGCAGAAAACAGTCGCAGTGCCAGTATTGTACCTCGCATCTCAATTTATCTGGTGTGGCGATGCCAAGTCACGAGGTCCCACGAATGATCTGGCGTAGCTCGACGGACGTCCCCTCATTTCCGAAAGGAGTGGACGTCACCTCCCCCATGGACGGTTCATAGATGAGGTATGCATTGTCTTCTGTTAAAGTCGAAAAAAGGCCAAGAAGTGCGAATCCGCATGTGCGTCATATGCCTCTTGCGGCTGTCTTAAACATAAAGTTCACGCATTTTCTCCCGTATACCGACCCTTTCTCAAGCGACTGACAAACATTGGCTCTTTTCGAGGAAGTTTTTGTAAAGCTCAAAATACAGGTGTGACTCGCATAGCGAGCAAATTCCCCAGGTAGACAGCACGCGTATATATATATATATATATATATATATATATATATATATATATATATATATATATATATATATATATAGTGGGAGTAATAATTCAATGGGCCAGTTAGTCTTCGTGAAGGTATGAGATATGGCACAACGGGAGCGTTGTCAACAAGGATAAATATACAACGCTCCCGTTGTGCCATATATATATATATATATATATATATATATATATATATATATATATATATATATATATATATATATATATATATATATATATATATATATATATATATATATATATGCTGGGTATCACATAACATACCCAGCACCTCCACCACTTGTGGAAGAACGTTCAGGCAGCAAGCAATTGCTTTATTGACACTCGAGCCTAAGCTCGGCTACTCAGACCATGTTTTGCGAAATAAACTAGTTGAAAGTGCAGCGGTGTCCCTATCGTACCTTTTGTGCTTGTCATCGTGCACTGCTCCATAAGTACTCATCAACTATCACGAACTGGGCCAACTTTCGACATTACTGGCCTTGAGGAGGAGAAAACCTTTATTGATGCTGGCTGTGCCAGATAGTCCTTATCCCCACCGGGCTGGTTGACATCCCTAGTCCGGGACGTCATTAGTCGAGGCCGCCACCCGGGCCCGCTGGACTAGAGTTCGCTGTTCCTCTAGTGTGGAGCTATTGAGTAGGGTCGCCTTCCAGTCCTCTTTGGTGGGGTCGGCAAAGGGGGTTAATTTGGGTGCATTTGGTAGGCCCAGACCATATGGTAAGTGTTGGCCACTTCCCCACAGTACTGGAACTGCCCACTTATTTTTGGGTCGTAATATTTTAGTATGGCTGGACAGCGCAGCGTGTTTGTCTGTAGGTGCCACAGGACGCGCTCCTCCGTTTTCGAAAGTCCCTTCGCTGGTGCGGGATACGAGCGGCGTTGCTCAATGTAGTATTCTTCGATTTCTCAAAACCGTGTTAAAGGTGTGGGACGTTCAGGTCTATCAGGGGAACGGGGAGCTTCCCGGGAAGTGAGCACGCGGGCCGCTGCATGTGCAGCCTCGTTACCCCGTAGACCCTGATGTCCCGGAGTCCATATAAAACGTTTTGGGGTAGGATCACGGTTCCTGATGCTGTATTATAAAAGTCTATTAGCCAATGGAGAGATTTCTCCTGCAAGATAGCTCTCGCAGGCTCTTCGAGAGTCTCTAACTATTTGTTTTGAGTTTGGATGGGATACTGCCAGTGCAATGGCCACCTCCTCCGCCTTACTTGAGCTTGTGGCTTTGAAAGTGAGGCCGTTCACCTGCGTTACTTGATGTATTACCGCCGCCGTGTAGTATCCCCTAGGCGACGGCCCGGCCACATCGACGTAGTAGACCCCATTACGGGAGCCAAACCGCTGTTCAAGTGCCTCAGCATGCGCTTGCCTTCTACCCTGGTGCGCCTCCCTGGTCATATTGCGGGGAAGCGGGGATACCCAGAGTTTTGTTCTCCAAAGTTCAGTAATACGCTTCGCGTTTTCAATTTCGCATTCGTGCCGGATCAAGAGGCGGTCCAGTAGGCGCCGCCCGGGGGGCGTCTGCGTAAGACGCGTATATTGATTTGTGAGGTGGGCTTCTTGGAGCTCTTGTATAGAGTTAGAGACTCCCAATGCAGAGATTTTCTAATTTGAAGTACTGATGAGTTTATCAAGTGCGCGCTTAATTACTTAAGAATAGCATCGACTCTGTTATCTTCATGTTTAGTCATTCGTAAGTATGGTATTGAATATAGAATCCTGCTAGTTACAAAAGCATGGGCGAGCCGAATCACGTCCCTTTCTCGTAGCCCCCCGCGCTTGTTTGACACTCGGCGGATCATGTGCCCTACATGTTTTCCAATTTTCTGTAGCTTGTCTAGCGTGGTGCTGTTTTTTGTTCTGTGTGAATCAGAAGGCCAATGACTCGTAGTTCTGAAAGCTCTCGTATGGTTGATCCTGATACCATCAAGTTTAGGGTCGTCCTATCTTTAATGTTTTCTCTCATATGCAGTAATTCAGATTTGGTTGGAGCACACTGCAACCCACAGTGAGCCAAATAGTCCTCCACAATGGAGGCGGCCTGCTGCAGGCGGTCTTCAATTTCTCCTAAACTGCCCCGATTCGTCCAGATTGTTATATCATCGACGTATATTGCATGATATATTCCTTTCACTACTGTCAATGCTTGCGGGAGCTTCATCTTTGCAATGTTGAATAGCAGCGGAGAGGCACCCAGCCGGTGAAAGGTCGAGAGTGAGGAGCGAGCGGATGGAAGAGTGGGGCACCAGCGTTTTCGGCTTGGCGTTGGCGTTTTATAGCGGCGCCTCCACCACACATTTCCGGTTGTTCTTGAAAGGCATCCCGGAGCAAGCGGACGGGAGAGAGGGGCGCTGGGAGGAGAGAGAGCGAATGGTGAGAGGAGTGGCGAAGCACTGCATCTACCCTCTCCTACACTCTTTCGCCCCACATGCTCCGGTTGCTAGGGGCGAGGATAAGCATGCGCGCCCGCAGCTGTTGCTATGGCAGAGCAAGTGAGAGCAGACAGAGATACCTGGCGGCACGCAAGCACGGCTGCGGACAACACCGCATGCCTGACATAGCCCGACTAAAAAATGCATTCGCATTTGAAAGTAAGTAGTGGTGCGCAAAATTCACTGCCCCAGAAGGTTAGTAACAACTGCTGTTACCAAGTGTTTGCTCGTGGTTATGATCTATTTCCTAACTTTTTTTTAAGAGTGCACAACGTTTTCCTTACGTTTCCCTCTAGTTCGCGCGTAGACCAGCCATGTAAAGCATGGCCAGAACATTCCTACAGCGCGATAATAGCGAGCACGTTCTGGTGTCTAACGCCTTGTGACCTGACCTCAAAGATATTTAAGTGGACACTAAATGCAACTATTAAGTCTACGTTGATTATCGAAATGGTAGTCCAGAAACCTCGTAGTATTACTTTTCCGTCAAAGAAGGGCATATTTGAAATAAAATCACGTTTTAGTGGTTCGCATCGGGTTAGCACACTTCAAATTACCTGCCTCAAGAAGCGGCCCGACTAGACCATCTCACATCACTGTTGCCATGCACAACGTTGCCTGGCTTTACTGCGCTAGTAGCATCAGACTAAAAGCAGTGGAAGTCACAGCAGCAACGACGGCCTTTGATCAGTTTCCCGCCATTGGCTCCAAGATTGCAGACGTTTTTAGTTCAACTAGGTCCCACTAGATGGCACCACTCGCCCAGTGTAACTACACGAAAGTAAATTTTTGAACCACTTGCGCCATTCCCCATAGTAAAATACGGCAATTCTTTCTTCCACGAATTAAACAGAAACAAACATGAAGCATTTTATTGCGTCTTTTGACGCACGGAACGTTCCTTATGTAGTGCCGCTAGATCAATTACTAGTGATTAATTGTAGATGGGCAACCTGATGTCATCAGTATCATTCTGAGAATATCCTACTGCGGTGCATGCGTTCTTGTGGATTTGCCTTAATTTCTCGGTAATGCACTGCTGTTGATAATATTATCGTTTTTGACGTTGTCATACATTGAGCTTTCACTATGACGTAAATTGTTATTTGACTTTAGTGTTTCTTTGAAGTAAACGACAGGCCGAATCGTTACAAACGCTCTGCGTGACTGATTCATGGCACTTGTGCGTTTGAAAAGAGTGCCAATGTGTCATTGCACTTTAGTTGAAGTCTGAGGTTTGAAGCACGCGAAAACCGCTCACTGCCGCTGGCAGAGATGTCATGTCGAAGAATGTTTCAGATGATGATCATATAGATTAAGCGTTCCCCACAGATATGCCACTTTCGCCAAAAGTTTCCAAACCATTGCGTAGTTAAGGTACCGAGTTTCTCATTCTTCTGAGCTTCTAAGCCCTGCAGGCGTTCCACAGCAGCCTTGCAACGTAGATCCACTCCGTTGTCGATCCGCCGAGACATTTGACAAAGACTGAGGGTCAGCATCGCACGCTTGAAAAGTCGCGAAAAGAGTACCACTGAGAAAGACGGAGAACAGGACGACGAGCCTCCGTTTTTGTTCAGGGGCAGTCATTCCACGCTTATTAAAGTATGGACTTCGAGTCAATTTGCCCAACGTTTCGACTTGTTGCCTGAAAGTAAATACGCCACATGGGCTTTGGTTGGAGCGACTTCATAGTAATATCTGTGGTTTAAGTTGCGCGCTACGGTAAACACCTCGAAAAAAAAAATCGAATTAGCAATTGTGACCCCTAAAAACTAGCTGCATTCTTAGGAACAAACCTGTGGAAGTTCGACGTCGAGAGGCCGCTCCAAGTGGTTTAAATGCCGCGCCAAAGTGTGCCGCCTGCCCTCTGGCGTAAGCAGTATGCGCACGTAAAACATTTTTTCTTAG